ATTCGATTTTTGGATATATCTACATCAACGATTGACAAAATTCGTTCTGTACTTCAAACAATGATGACTACCTACAAACAACTATATATTGTTTTTGCATGGCCATTCGAGCAAACTTGTCTCAGTGATAATAGCGATTTAGGATTTAAAGAACACGAAGAATCTATTTGTGGCACATTCATTCAACTTCTTCAAATAATTCACGCAATATCACCTACTTTTCTCCCGTTTATGTTTGTTATCACAAGACATGCGCAGTTAAATACTGGTTCAGACTGCAATATAATTGAATCACCACTTATTGGTCTTGTACGAAGTTTAATGGTTGAATATGAACAACATCGACTGAAGCTCATTGATCTACAAGCATTACCGACAATGATTAACGAATCAGTACTTGTTCATGCTTTAGCACAATACATGAAAACTTCTCGATATACAAAGAATACTGATGAGATTGTTCTTCGTCTTGACCTAAATGAAAAGACAGTCAAACATATCGCATGGCATTATGAAATGTTGCGAACACATGATAAAAAAGAAGATCAATCAAAATTAAAACAAATTTGTATTATCCCTCAACAAGATGCTAATCAACAACCATTCCGTCTTCGTGTACCTCCATCTCGTTTTCTCGCTGAATTAATATGGATTCCTGATAGTAGAACAAAAGAATTATTACCAGGTATGGTAGAAGTTCAAATTCACTGTGTAGGCATTAACTTTCGTGACGTATTGAAAGCACGAGGTCTGTATCCACATACTCGTAAGTTTGCACAACTGGATGAACATCAGCCACATATGAATCGAGACACTGAACCTGGTTCAGATTTTGTTGGGACTATCATACGTGCGTGCCCTAGTGTCAGTTTTCAACCAGGTGATCATGTCGTGGGCATCTCTGTACGTGGTGTATTCCATTCTCATATCACTGTCGATTCAACACAAGTAGTACGTATTCCATCCGAGTGTTCTCTCACTGATGAACAATTATCAGTTATGCCCGTCATATGTCTGACAGTCATCTATTCTCTTAAATATCGCGTTCATTTGCGACGTGGTCAAACTGTTCTTATTCATGCTGCAACGGGTGGTGCTGGTCAAATTTGTATACAATATTGTCAATGGATTGGTGCTCGTGTTTTAGCTACAGCTGGAACTGAAGAAAAGCGACGGTTTTTACGTGAACATTGTGGTGTCGAATATGTATTTAATAGTCGAGATAATTCTTTTGTTAGTGGTGTAAGAAGTATTCTACCGCATGGTGTTGATGTTGTCATTAATTCTTTATCAGGTATTCTTCTACAAGAATCCATTAAATTACTTGCTGATCATGGTCATTTTGTTGAATGGGGAAAACGAGATGTTTTTGACAAGTCTCCATTGTCTATGTTTGACTTTCGATCAGACTGTAGTTTTCATGTCATTGATTTAGTTTCACTTTGTATGAAACATCCAACTATTTGTACTGCTATGTTACAAGAAATGGTTGATTTACTTATGCAAAGCAAATTAAAAGCAATTGAGCCCACAGTTGTCTATGAACCATCTCAAGTGATTGAGGCATTTATGAGATGTAATAGTGGTCAAGCCATGGGCAAAGCTGTTGTTCGTCTAACCAATTCTAATGAATCACTCTGTTTGAATAGCGTACATTATAATAGTTTAATCGAAGGTAACCTTTATTAATCTTTTATTATAATTTTAATGAATATAAATTTAGATAATGATATTATGTTTCCGTCAAATGTTTGCCAACAAGGAACAATTCTTATTTCTGGTGGATTTGGTGGTCTTGGATTGACAATGTCTCGGTGGATGATAGAGAAACGAGGTGTAAAACGTATTAATCTTATGAGTCGTCGGACATTAGCTGAACTTGAACAATCGTCGAATCCACAGTATGAGGATTGGTTACGCTTGAAACAAACAATAAATGAATATCACGCTCATGTGGATGTTGTTCAAGCAGATGTAACAAATTTTGATCAAGTGCATGATCTGATCAAAAAATTAAGTCACACCTCTTATCCTGTTCGAGGAATTATTCACAGTGCTGTCGTTGCAGAAGATCGAACTTTGGCTAAAATGACACAAGAATATTTGACACATGTTTTAGCAGCAAAAGTTCGTGGTGCTTGGATTCTTCATCAAGTTACACAGCTCACCCATGCTCCTCTTCATTTTTTTCTCATGTTCTCATCAATTCGAAATCATCTACTTGAAGTGGCATCGTCCGGTTACAATGCTGGTAATCAATTTCTCGATGTTCTTGCTCACCATCGCATGACTCAACTAAATTTACCTGCTCTCTCAGTTAGCTTGCCTGCTGTAAGTGGCGCAGGCATGTTTCATCGACAACGAGATATGCTTAGTACGTTACAAAGTACACATGGCTTTGAAGTATTGCCACCGATAGCTGTATTCGAGTTGATCGAACGCTTCCATGCAAATCAGAAGACTTGTCCATGTCCTGTTATTTTTGCTGTTAATTGGCAAAAATTATATGAAAGACGTCA